CTTTCCCTCTCCCTCTCTCTCTCCCTCTTTCTCTTCCACTCTCTCTCTCTCTCTCTCTCTCTATCTCTCTCTTTCTCTCTCTCCCTATCTCTCCCTCTCTCTCTCTCCCTCTCTCTCCATCTCTCTCTCCTCTACCTCCCTCTTTCTCTTCCACTCTCTCTCTCTCTCTATCTCCTTCTCTCGCTCTTCCTCTATCTCTTCTCTCGCTCTTCCTCTATCTCCCTCTCTCTCCCTCTTCTCTTCCACTCTCTCTCTCTCTTCTTTCTCTCTCTCCTTCCCTCCCATCTCTCTCCCATTCCTCTCTCTCCGTCTCCCTCTCTCTCTTCCACTCTCTCTCTCCTCTCTCTTTCTCTCTCTCCCTCTCCCCCTCTCTCTCCCTCTCCTTCTCCCTCTCTCTTTCTCTTCCACTCTCTCTCTCTCTCTCCCTCTCTCTCCATCTCCCTCTCCCTCTCTCCCTCTTTCTCTTCCACTCTCTCTCTCTCTCTCTCTCTCTCTCTCTCTCTCTCTCTCTTTCCCCACAATATTCTCGACTGCCACAGCGTTGTAGAACTTGTTTCCAGACAGGTCCAGGCGCTCCCCACTCCGCAAGCCCCAGCCCATACGGCTCAACCGCCCAAACACCCTCCGGCGGATGACCTCCGACTTCGGCGACCTGACCCCAGTCGACCGGACCGATCGCGTCCCTCTCCACGCCTCCGCCCCGGCCCCGCTTCCCCCACTACAACTGCGTAGTAATTGTAGCGTGTGCAAAGGTCACGTGACATTATTTACTTCTGCGGTTTGTTCGGCTGACAAGAGATGGCACTAGTGGTCTGTGGATCAGAGGCGGGGCTAGGTTCTACGACTTCTTGGGGCAACTTTAGGGCAGAAAAGACGTTTTTTGGCTCCTCATCCCAAAATGCTTCGAACACACAAAAACAAGTTAGATATTCGAAAATCGGAGGACCAAACCGATCGTTTGACGTATCTTGCTCGACTGAGAATTGATCGGTCTTCAAACTACTGAGCAAAAACGAGGTGATTAGTAGCAAGTGCTGGTGACTGTACTTGTACCGACTTAGTTAACGACTGCTGTTAAAGACTACTTTTTGCTGTTGACTACATTTTGCGCATCAACTTTTCGCGCACCTATTAACTTTTTGCTTGTTGACTTTTTGTGTTTTTTTAGCGTGTTGACTTTTAAGCAAGTTGACTTCTAGCGTGTTGACTTTTAGCATGTTGACCTTTCGCGTGTTGACTTTTAGCGTGTTGACTTTTAGCCTTTAGGCGTGTTGACTTTTAGCGTCTTGACTTTTTGCGTGTTGACTTTTTGCGCGTTGACATTTTGCGTGTTGACTTTATGCGTGTTGACTTTTAGCGTGTTGACTTTTAGCGCGTTGACTTTTTGACATGTCGGCTTTTTGTCTCTTTGACATTATGTCTTTTGACTTCTTGCGTGTTGACTTTTAGCTTGTTGAGTTCTGGCGTGTTGACTTTTTGGCAGGTTGACTTTTTGTTCATTTGACATTTTGTCCTTTGACTTCTTGCGATGTTGACTTTCTGTCTGTTGACTTAATGTCCTTTGACTTTTTATCCGTTTACTTTTGGGGAGCATTCATTCTGGCCAGGGTTCATAATGTCCAGGGTACGCTATGCCCAGTGTCAAAATGGCCAGTGCCTTGAATGGGCCAGAGTTCATAATGTCCAGGGATTGCATGGTCCAAATGTGGCCAACTGGCTGCAGATAGGGTATATTCAAAGAGGCCAGGGTTCATAATGTCCAGGGCACGATGTGTCCAGTGTTCAAAATGGCCAGGGTTCATAATGTCCAGGGCACGATGTGTCCAGTATTCGAAATGGCCAGGGTTCATAATGTCCAGGGCACGATGTATCCAGTGTTCAAAATGGCCAGTGCCTTGAATGGGCCAGAGTTCATAATGTCCAGGGATTACATAGTCACTGAAAGTGACGTCATTATGTAAAAAACACGGAATCAGCTCAATGCAAAGCAGTGCAGTGCCGAAGGCAATGCCTTAGGAGAGATTACAGGCAATAGTAAATCAAATATTTTTAGGTTAAGTGGTTATGTATCTGGCTTCAGGCCGAAGGCCTGAAGCCTGATGCATAACCACTTAACCTAAAAATATTTGATTTACTATTGCTTGCAATCTATTCATGCGAGAAACTATTTCCTTATCCCCGGTAGGCAAACATCATTACCTTAGGTTAGGTTAGGTTAGGTTAGGTTAGGTTAGGTTAGGTTAGGTTAGGTTAGGTTAGGTTAGGTTAGGTTAGGTTAGGTTAGGTTAGGTTAGGTTTGGTTGGGTTGGGTTGGGTTGACTATGTAATCCCTGGACACTATGAACTCTGGCCCATTCAAGGCACTGGCCATTTTGAACACTGGACACGTCGTGCCCTGGACATTATGAACCCTGGCCATTTCGAACACTGGACACATCGTGCCCTGGACATTATGAACCCTGGCCATTTTGAACACTGGACGCATCGTGCCCTGGACATTATGAACCCTGGCCTCTTTGAATTTACCCTATCTGCAGCCAGTTGGCCACTTTTGGACCATGTAATCCCTGGACAATGTGAACACTGGCCAATTCAAGGCACTGGCCAATTCGAGCACTGGACACATTGTGCCCTGGACATTATGAACCCTGGCCTAAATAATACGCACCCTTACTTTTAACGTTTTGACTTTTCATCCGGGAATCGTTTGTGGTTGTGCGCTGGGTGAGGAGTGAGGCGGCGCGAGTTCCTGTTTACACGTGATGAGGGATGGGGATGATTGAGATGGAACAGATACCTACCGGCCCGCGTGGGACTGGAGTGGGCCTGGATCGGCCCGGATGGTACATACGAGGTGGAACAGGGACCGGCCGAGGTGGCACTAGGAATGGGAATGACTGCAAACGGGAGTCGGTCCGGATCTGATTGGAATTTAAATAACTTTATGTTTGAAGCTTGCTCAGTGTCCGACCTTGCCCCTCTCCCGTTTCTGACCTCCCTCTCTCCCGTGTCTTTAGTAGGTATCTGACCCCTTCCCTCCCGTCTCTGACCACCTCTTCCCTCTCTCTCTGACCTCCCCTCTCCCTCTCTCCGACAGCATACGCGGCCCTGTGGAGCCGCTGCCATCTGCCAGCGCCTCCACACCCGCTCCCAGCGACCCTCCAAGGCACGTCACTTCAACTGGGTCTACTTCACACCGTGGTCCGGGTGGAGCCCCTGCTCCCGACGCTGCGTCACCCGGCGGACCAGGTCAGAACTGCAGTTTACGGTGACCGCCGCTAGGCTGCGTCGGTGTCCGAGATGTCAGAGTAGTGGATACTTTGAGGTATGTGCTGAGATTGGCTGTTCTCTAAATTTTGTACCGTATCTACAAATTGCGTAATTTTATAGTGCATTTTTCAAAACACAATAAAAAACGTTAACTCATGAGCAGCACAAAAAAACTAATTGGTTTGATCAATTGACCCAAGGGAGGTCTTATTTGGTTCATTCCTAGGAATCCCTAATGCTGGAAATAGAGCGCGAAAACTAAGCATCTAACGTAGCTGGTAACAGCATGTCTCGCCCTCATCGTTTGGACGTACAAATCACTGAGCCGTATTTACCACCGCAGGAAGTGTCAGTACCCGCAGTTTTGCGGCGCGGCGCGTGTCAAGGATACCACCTCCTGCTCAGTGTCAGGGGTCAGGTGTCACCGCCGCAGGCAGCGGAAGCGGAGTCGCAAGGAGTTCTACAAGCAGAGGACCACGCAGAGACCGGCCGAGGCGCGGCTGGTCACCAGCGGAGGTCAGTCGGGTGGCTCATACTCGTTTTTTCAATATTTATTATTTTGCATTCATTGAATTTGTTCTTGGTGTAAAAATGCTTGCATGTTTTTTTTTTTGTTTTTTTATGAAGCTGCTTTATTCGTCTGAAAATATCGGTGCAGACTTCAATGAAACGTCTGAAATAATTAGATGAAACGTGATAGCTTCTGGCATTGTTTTGGTCATAATTTCTTACACTAGCGACGTCTTTTTTTTTGCCTACCAGATGTCAGCAGCAACAGCAGCACCAATAGCAGCATCAGCAGCAGCAGCACTAAGAGCAGCTCCACGGCGGCCGCCGCGGGCACGTGCGGTGTCGGCGGCGGGAGCTCGGTCCGCCGTCTGCTGCGGGTGGTGGGCGGACGGAGGTCCAGTCGAGGCGCCTGGCCCTGGCAGGCGGTCATCTTCAACCAGTTCATGGTGAGAGTCGGTGCAGACGTTCTGACTGGCTGAGATGTCGGTCAGCTTGATCATACTACCCCTGGACAGAATAGATTCAGTTTTAGGGAGCGGAGAGTTCTTCCGTGAAATGCTAATCCCATGACGTTGAAGGTTTGATGGAATTGCCTCTGAGACTCCTATCCTTGGTATCCCCTGAACTCTCTGCCCTCTGAAAATATCTTTGGTATTTTAGAACGTCTCACCTCTTGAGCTCTGTCATTTCAGTAGCCTCTGACCTGAAAAAACTAGCCTGCAATGACTTTCAAATTTTGACGCATTTTGGTCGCTTGCCTCCGAATTCGTGCGCCCTTGCTGACCCCTGCGTTCCTTCTCCTTAGGAGCCGTCCTGCGGGGGGGGAGGGTGTACCCTGGTGCACCCCCATTGGGTGCTGATTGCCACCAACTAACCCCTGCGTTCCTCCCCACCAGGAACCGTTCTGCGGAGGAACCCTGGTTCACCCTCAGTGGGTGCTGACGGCCGCCCACTGACCACTGCACCCACTGACCCCTGACCTCCTCTCCTCTACAGAAGCCGTTCCGCAGTGGCACTCTGGTGCATGCCCTCAGTGGGTGCTGACGGCAGCTCACTGACCTCTGCACCGATTAACCCCTGACCCTTCCCTCAGGAGCCGTTCTGCGGGGGTACCCTAGTCCACCCCCAGTGGGTGCTGATTGCCGCCCACTAGCCCCTGCGTTCCTCCCCATTAGGAGGCCTTCTGTGGGTCCTGAGGTCCACCCACTTCTCTGTGACTTCTCGCCCCACTGTCTACTGAGCCCTTTCTCTCCCCTACAGGAGCCGTTCTGCGGGGGAACCCTGGTTCACCCCCAGTGGGTGCTGACGGCCGCTCATTGTCTGCGCCGCCTGCTCTACATCCGACTCGGGGAGTACGACCTCACCCGGCCAGAGAACAGCGAGAGGGGATTCAAGGTCAGTCGAGGGAGAAAGGGTTAGAGAGCGCGAAGAGTCATGTGGGGAAGGCTGGTGTTTAGAGTTATGTCCTTAGCTTTCGCTCTAGTGATGGAGTTTTCGTCTCCAATAACACGAAACCTCCAACATTTGACTGCAAAGGACCCCTGAGGTTCCTGACTGTAGTTCTGACGTCAACGACCTCTAATCGTCAGTCAACTTTGATCGTCGAAGAACTTCGAACGTCAGATATCCTATCATGAAGCACCGAACCGTCAGGAACGTGGAAGCTTTAGCGACCCTCACTTGACAAAGAGACATCAGATCCCTAAGCGTCAGTTAACTGCGACCATCAGACGCCTTGACTGATGGTCAGTCAAGTGCTCTGACCTTTAGATGCCCATCACATGATAAACCCTCGCATGTGTGCGGCGTTTGCCAGCTTCTAATGTGTAGGGGGGGGGGGGTCGGTTGGACCACCCTTTGCCGTTTGGCCCCTGATCGAGCTATAGAGCTTCGCGGAAAAAAAACGAGCGTGTTGCCCGTGACGAGAGGAAGCCGATTATACGCAATTTTAAGGTCCTAAGTCATTGGTTGACCTTCCAGGTCAGGTCATTGACCCAAAAGTCGGGAAAATCGGGACCTGTTAGAAAGTCGTAAAGTGTGGCTGACAAGGGTTTTTTCGGGGTGCTGATCACGAATATCATGTTAGTTTTGATCACAGATGATGTCTGTAAGCATTTAGACTACTGTCGGGTCAGGTCAGGTCAGATCAACCAGTAGGGGTCGTGACGGGTATTCGTAGTACGTGTCAACCGCCTCTGACAGCTTCGCAACATGTTACGAAGACACCAAAACTGCTTCGTAAATGCTCAAATAGTTTCCAAATTCGAATTCAGCTCCAAAAACTAGCCTAGAAACATGTAAAGCTCGAAAAAGTGAACCAGGTCACCAAAGGTATATGACCTGACCTGACCTTCAGGTGACCTTGACTTCCACCCTAATGTATGGGAGCAACATCATATCACATGTTTGAACGTTTCACACCACGAGAAGCTTGGAAACGCGCGGCTAATGCGGGCCGACACACGCCGAATCGCGATTCCGGCCAAACATGGCCTCGAGAAATAGGTCACAGGTCAAAGTTCACTTGGGTCAGGGTCATGCAATTTTTAGAGTAGGTGTAAAATTGATCAACTCGAGGGTACTGAAAGTTTCGTCGCGATCGGCCGCTTTTTGCGCGAGTTATTCGCGAAAAACCATGGGGGGTCCATCCGATCCCCCCCCCCTACATACACAAACGAATGTCAAAGAGACTTCGACTGCTGTATAAATTCTCTATGACCTGCTGACCACTGAGAGTCAACACTTCCCCCTCTGTTCCGTCAGATCACGCCCAGCATGGTGATCCAGCACCCGCGGTACGACCCGGAGACGGTCGATAACGACCTGGCTATGATCCGGCTGCGCGCACCTCTGAAGCCGTCCGAGGCGACCCCCGTGTGCCTGCCGCGGGGCCGCCACCCCCGGCCGGGCACCAAGTGCACCGTGGCCGGCTGGGGGAAGACGAAAATCACTCACCTGTTCGGATCGGACGTGCTCAGAGAGGCAGAGGTGAGATGGTTCCCTGTGGCGACCGAAAGGGGCTCATTTGCAGTTTTCCTCGGGCGCATCTTTTAAATACAATATAAAACTTGCAGGATTTAGCACTATCGCAAAAAGCTAGTGATGGCAAATAAATTACGACGAATATTAGGACAGAGGAGTTTAGCAGAAGGTGTTTTTTTTTTTGTCTTTTTGGTGAACACAAATATGGAACAGAATTTTCTCGCCGACTACAACAAAGTCATGTAGGTAACCGTTCATTCTTACTCCCAATTTGTGTTGACCTGGTCCATGTCCCACTCTCCCCGTCTGACCAGCCCTCCCCGCGCGCAGGTGCCCGTGGTGCGCGACTCTCGGTGCCGCGCCACCTATGCCGACTACCACATCACCAGCAACATGTTCTGCGCCGGCTACAAGAAGGGACGCGTGGACGCCTGCGCCGGCGACTCCGGAGGGCCGCTCGTCTGCAAACAGGGCGACGGGTGAGAGATCGGAGAGGGATGTGGGATGGATACCAAGGTGTGCATAGTCCTGAGGCTTTATGGGACGCATTATACAGTTATGGCCTAGGAGGAATAGTGGTTTGGCTATGTATGAAATGTAATAACCGACTTCATATGTCAGTGGCGCTTGTTTTTGTTGGTGCAGTTCTTACGAGTAAACAACCAGGAAATAAGTCGGTTAGATAGCTTGGCCTATTCAGTGCAAATGAGCCATATCATGATTAGCGCTTTCCGAGCGATGATGTGCTAACGGGCATTTACTTTTATTTCAGGTGGTCCATTTACGGTATCACCAGTTTTGGCGAGGGCTGCGGCGCCAAGGGCAAGTACGGCATCTACGTAAAACTGGCCAATTACCGCAAGTGGCTGCGTCACGTGATACGGCGCTACACCAATCAGAGGCGAGCGCGCAGGCGGCGCTCCAAGGTCGCCCTGCGGCGCCCGAGGCTCAAGGTCAAGCGGCCGGCCAATCAGGAGTCGTGATGTTATACGGAGGGTATCGGTTCGAATCTCGACAGCGCCGTCCTTCTTTTTTGATAGACGATTTGTCGGGACTCATCCCCGGGAGGACAATGGTGACTGACAGTGTTTGTGACTCCTGTGCCTCCTTCTACGCATCACTTACTGTCCGAATTATGTTTGTGAGAAGCCTGTAAATGGCACGTGAATGTCCCCTGCCGGCGCGCTGAACTGAAGCGGGTGGGATGTAAAGGATATGTGCCCGGAGCGCCTAGTCATATATTTGATGTTGTGTATATGAATGTTAGCTATTATTTATGATGAAATGTGACACGCATGGACCCAGTCTGTGCCCATTCATCGCTATCCTACTGCCTGTTGTAAGTGCAACTTCGTTTCCAATTATATGGATTATATAATATTGCATTTTACCGTTTTCATTATGTTTATGACCTGTTTGACCCATTTACCGATGGATAACTTGGACGAGTCGCTTTATTCATTGTAACTACCACCCCTGGAAGATATATCACGATGCAGTCATACCCCATTAGTCGTGACTCGTGATGCCGCTCTTCTGGAACGAACGCAGAAATATTGGACAAATATCTACATTCTTTGTAAATAATCACTGCTGCATATTTTGCACCCATTCTGTGTTGGTTTGTTTGCCACGGTGATAGACAGGCCATAACGGGGGAGGATCTTAGAAACTGTTCGCTGGAATCTTGAATTCTCTTCATCTTGATCTGCCTGCATATTCGTGGCTTAACCCTCGCCGGCCGAGGGGGGGGGGGGCGGGTGCCGCCCCCCCATAGGGTTTTTTCGCGATAGCTCCGAACACGATGGCGAAAGAGAGCTGAAACTTGCCATACCTGACCTTTGATTCAAGCCCGATCTTTTGACACCAACCGCATTTTTGGGTCAGGTCAGGTCACTGATCTATGACGTCATAAGTGAACCTCTGCACGGTCTTCAGATGTCGCAACTTCGCAACGCCCACACTGCCAGAGGAGATGTCACAGGGAAATGAAACTTGCATGATCTAGTATCCATTATGAGTCTCACAACTTCTATATCTCGGATTTTTCCTAAAGGTCATATGAGGTCAGGTCATTTTCGTGACCTCACCATTATAAGTCTATGGGGAAAAATGAAAACTGCTATTCTGGCGCCGGGAACGATCTAACTATCTCAAGCACACAGAATCGTGATTTGATGCACTCCTTGCAAGGTAAGATGCGTCACTTTTGCAATGTTGACCTTGCGTGACGTCATTTATGACGTCATCAAGGTCATATTAGTTTTTCGTCAATAACTCTTGATCAAATTGAGCTAGCGAGTCGGGGAAGCCACCAATGGACTCAGGAAGACCTGCCGAATCGAATGATATGCGATATGACCTCTTTCGACCAACTTCGTGACCTTAGGGTGCTGACCTGACCTTGACCTGAGGTCAACACCCCAAGTTGACCTGACCCGAACAAAAAGTATATCATTCGACGCGCCTGAGCGAGGCGAACACGATGCTGCCAAAATCGCGGCTCTGCGGCCGTTTTTTGCGAAGTTATTCACCAAAAACTGAACCGTACCCTGGGGCACTTGACCTGACCTCAGAGGTCACCGGTTGACCTAGGACCTTAAAATCGGGTACCAATCTCTGCGTCTCGTAACGGCGCACACGCTCGTTTTTTCCGCGACGCGCTAGCTCCACCAGGGGCGAAACGGCGAGGGGGGGGTCGTACCCGCCCCCCCCCCCTCGGCCGGCGCGTATGTAGAAAACCAATAGGTCCGGCGAGGGTTAAACATTCTCTCTGCTTTTTAATTCCTCATCTCGGTAAAACACATCGGTTTATTTCGCCTTATATTTAGCCAACTCGTCATTAGAAATAGACAAAGGTCAGCGAAGGAAGGTAAACTAGTGAAATTTACACGTGCTGTTACTACGTTCAGTAGGGGGGACGGTGAACTACCCTGGGTAACTCCTGGAAGAGCTCGCGATGCAACAACCGGACGTGACAGATCCCGACGTAACATAACGTACATTTGACGTGAGTCAACAATGCGTCTGTAGTGATCTACGCGAATTTTTCGAGTCACAGTCATGGGTAACTAATAAGTAGCTAGAAGAAGATATTACGCAAAAATAAAGAGAACAAGAAGACCCACAAACAATCTTAGACACACAAGCCGTCTATTCGAACGCAGCACTGCGCATTTCTGGGTGCGTCTTTGGGCAGTGACTAGTGCAAAACGGGTGACACCCACGTTCAGAAGGGGTGCCAGCCCGGGTGCATGTTGGGTGCAGCCGGGTGCGGCCAGAGGCCGGCACGGGGTGCATTTATTGTCCTGATCTCAACCACGTAGAGCCGTTGACGACTCGTCAATAATCGCACATTAACCGTATCGACCCTAAGTCCTAACTACGTGCAAAGTCTAGTCATTGTACATACAATTATCAGGTAAAGTCCAGTTCATTATAAACCTGCAACTTTGCAGTTGCCTTCGTTGACAGTTAAATACGGTATTATCCATAGGTATTCAGATTATGCATAGAAAAACACTCGTAGCACTCAGTTTAGTAGTGTGAAGTAAGGGTCAGTTTCTGTACAAGTCTCTTAATTCTAGTTAAACAGTCGCAGTTATGAAGTGCGCCAGCCTCTTGCGATAAACTCTCGCTAAAATACAGCTTCTCGTAACAACATTACTTCATTACACTGCCTCCCATTCACACTAACTTCAAGATAAAATCGCCAACAAACAATATATGTCTGCCGATCATGTTTCATAGCAAGAAGTCTCATATTTTCACACTCCGTTGCGTTTCGTGCCACTCTGAAATCGTATCCTCTAACAGCTAACTACTGTCTAGCTCAGTACATCAGCAAAACCACTTACGGACACGTGACGAAACTCCAAACAAATCAAATTTCGCTGCCTTTCACCATGTCCAAGGTGAAAAAAATGCATATTAGGTAATGTCTTGTCACTATATCGAAGTTGCTAACTGCAGTATTACAATCCTCTGTCAAAAGTTTTCCTCGCAGACCGTCGCAAACTGCGTTGCCATGACAACGGTAAAGGCCGCGCCGACGAGCTGGGTTCACTTGTCTCCCTGTGTGTCGCTCCTCCACGGGGCGGCGTTAGTGACGTCGCTGTGCGTCATCTAGTGAGGAGTATGACGTCACATGCGCCGGGTGTAGTTACCGGGGAAGGTTCCGAACATACCAGTCCGCATGTTGGTGCCCACATACCTGTCGAGACAGAAAAAAGGTCTGGTTATACGGTAATGGCATAAGTCATAGCGACTCATTTATCTACTGTTCGCAAGTGAAACTAAACGAATGCTTCGTGCAATGTATTGGAATGTCGTCGACGTTATTTCGCCCAATAACGATCCAATCCAAGCCCAAGGCTGCCAGCAGCCTCTCTCTAAAAATAAAGCCTTGAACAATAAAAAGTACGACTGCGCTAGGATGCATCACCGATAAATCAAACAGACAATCACAGCTAAACAGAGCTGCTAACATTAGCAGGGGGAACACCTCCAGCATGCTGTCACAAAACAGTCGCAAGTTATCAGCAGCATTAGCAGCAGCAGAGTAATCATCTATTCATCTTCTTACCATCCATCTGGACACTGCTCCAGGACCTGGATCATATCGCCCTCCTCGAGGTCCAGCTCATCCTCGTTCTGATGCCGGTACGGGAACATTACGCGGTACCTGAGGGCCATAAGGTAGCTACTGTGTGCTCGTGTGGTAGTGTGGGACTACTACTATAGGGATTTGTGAGGAGTAGCGAAACATGCCGCGGTCACGGGTAATATCCATGTGGTAGGGCAGCTGAAGCACCGTTCACATAAGGGCTTTGATCGGACGATAAGTTAGAGCCTAAAAAGCTTGTAGGTAGTGTTCGCATGATAGTTCTCAAACGACGATCTATATTTTCGCTGGCAAGCCTCAAAGCTAAGAAACACATTGAAACTCAATATTGCATGTTTTAGGCTAAAAAGGTGTTCTCTAAGCGTAACAACGTCGCAATGTCTCACACTTTTGGGGACACTTTTCAACACACCAACTGTGCTCTACTGCCTCAGCTACCCCTGTCTTCTCGCCCTGTCTTCTCTGGGACGGGACAGAAAGACCTCACCATCATCACCACAATCCCCGCCATCGCCACTCACAGCATGGTGTTCTGTTTGACGTCCACCCTCAGCTGATCTCGCTCCCCGGGCGCCCTTAGAGACAGTCCGTCCATCACGAGACCGTGGGCGGCCGGGGCACCCACCGGCTTCTGACGCGGGCCACCTGGCGGAGACACGGAGAAACGCAGCTTCAGAACAACGCCGCTGCAGTCGAAACGGCAAAACAGGGGAGTGATGTCGCTCTATAGCGTTGGTGGATTCCCGGTTGATAACAAAACAATGAGAGGAAATTTATTCATTCACCCATTCGTTGCATCTGCAAATATGACTAAGTTGCAATGAGAAAACCACAGGCTATATAAATTACACATAAAAACGTTCACGAGTTCACTGTGTAAAAATGGCATGTCTTTTGAAGAAGAAAAACTTGAAAACATACAGGTCGCTGATCTACAAATGCTAATCAGCTGTGATAGGATCCTTCTCACCGCATAGCAAATCACTCACCGTCGCCGTGGTCGGCGGTGAGCGGCTCCACATAGCTGGCGGGGAATATGCCGGTGGCGTCCCCACGGCGACCCTCGTACCAGTTGTCGTCCACCCGGCGCAGGATGGTCACCACGTCACCTGGAATGGTACGACGGAATGGTCACAGCGTCACCTGGAACAATACAAGGGAATGGTCACATTGTCACCTGGAATGGAGCTGAATGGTCATCACGTTACTATATAGGAATAGTGCACAATGGTTACGACGTCACCTGATATGGAATAGTCATCCATCACGTCCACTGGAATGGTTATAATGCCAAATTGAAGTTGAAACGGTGGTGAGGAATGATTGCCATGACGTCGGCTAGAGTGAACAGTAAATATTTCAGTGAAAATTCATTACAAGTCACTTGGAATGGCTGGAAATATCCATCATATCAGCTCGTCGCTATCAACTCTTCATTCCCCTCAATTCCAACCGATTCATGCCGACAGGACAGCCCAAGTGACTTAAGGGGCAGGTAGGATGTCCTTCTCCGACATCCCACCCCTGCCACACCTCCCACAGGCCTTCGTCCTTACCTTTGTTGAGTGACAGCTCCATGGCCGACTGGGCACTGAAGCGGTGTTTCGCCCTGACCTGAGGTCGGGACGACCACCGGTCGGCTGACCGCTCCCGGGGGTCAATGACCTGTCGAAATGGGACGAGAGCGGTCAAATAGGGTCATGCGGAGTTACACAGTCATCTAGATTTACTGAAGGGATTCGATCAGTGATAATTCCAGGCAAGAACAAGAATATTCAACTATAAGACACAGATGGCCTAACACAAATTGAGTCGGCA